ATTCCGTAATTTTCTTTTCGACGTACATGTAACAAATTTTTCGACCAATGATTCACAGCCATGATTAATATCTCTATTTTTCTTTTTTCTCTATCTTTCTTTTTAATAGTTACCTGATTCTGAGCGTTCTGTTCGGCCATCGCCTTCTCCTTCGCCTGCCTCTTGCACTTGTATCGGTGATTTTGAAACCATATTTTCACCTGCAACGTGAGAAACCAGTTACTGTTCGTCATCGTGGCAATTTGAAAGAAGATTTGGGAAAAGAGGGGAGGAAAGAAAACATTTTAAAGGCAGCGAAGAGATTTAGAAGAAACGACAAAAGGGCAACGCCTGTGCTACCATGATTCTCGATATAATTCTCGATTTACGTCTTCTCGGCGGGAATGGAACTTGATGGTTGAAGATATATTCCTTTCTCCTTTCTTCCGTACTCGAAAGAAATCCGTACTCGCACATTTTTTTTTTTTTTTTTTTTTTTTGACGCGCCACGTTGTCGTTGGCTTAGGTAAGTTAAATATTTTCACAATGGGGGGCTGAACGCAAGCCTTTTGTCGAGCGCGTGTACGTTTTTAAGTAATCTGAAAACGATTCGCCGCCCTCAGAAAATCCCTACTCCATCTATAGACACCTATTACACAAGTTATTGTTACTCCGTTTCAGAGAAATTTCACGTCTCGTTCGCCTCGATAAATACTCGAAAGAACGATTTCGTTGATCACGTTGGACGTCGATTTCCTTTCACCATGATGATCGTCTTATTTCACGCTCTTTATGAAAAAAGAAAGAAGAAAGAAGAAAAGTGCGAAATAGGTCGCCTCTCTGGCTACTTGGTGTGGAAGATAAAGGATAAAAAATGAGTGTTCAAAACACTCCTGAAATTTTAATCCCCTTAACCTATTCGCCAATCATTATGTATATTTTTCGTGGACAAAGTGCAGTTAGGCAATGCAGACATGTATCGAAAAACATTGAAAAGCTGACTGGATGATACGGTGGTATCAATAGTGAAGAGAAAAGTGAAAAATATACTATTTTATAGGTAAATCTAACCTAAACTAAACCTAACCTAAACCTAACCTTGGTAGTACAATTAAAAACTAAACCTAACCTTAGTAGTACAATTAAAAACTAAACCTAACCTAAACCTAATTTTAGTAGTACAATTAAAAACTAAACTAAACCTAACCTAAACCTAAACTAAACCTAACCTAGTCTACCTAGGTATCTAATCTACCTAATCCACCTAACCTAACCTAAACCTAAACCTAACCTTAGTAGTACAATTAAAAACTAAACTAAACTAAACCTAACCTTAGTAGTACAATTAAAAACTAAACTAAACCTAACCTAAACCTAAACCTAATTTTAGTAGTACAATTAATAAGTAGTTGTTATTTATTTATTACTATGTATTAATAAAATAATTTATTAATAAATTATTAATTATTAATAATTTACTAATAAAATAGTTACTATTTATTAATAATAGATTTTCCAAGAAAAACTTCTTTAGTAAAGAAACAAAAGATTGTCTATATATGTGTATATGTATTAATAGTTGATCAACGTTAAAATTTCCTTCGAAGACCGGAAGTTCCACCAGTCGGATTTCTCCTGCGGCACGATATCAAAAGCAAAAAAAAACCCCACCGCGGCGGCCAGGGTTTTATGAAGTTTCCGGGCGAAGAGCAATCGTGCTCTCCCGTGTTCAAGATCGCTTTTACGGCAATTGAACGCGATTAGGGAAACCGGCCGTGCGCGGATGGGAACGAAATCGACATCTGCTTATGACAGCGGCGCGTTATAATCCGCATTGTACATTATGCCGCGTTCACAGGGGCGAGTCCCGATCATCGGTGGCATTGTCGTCGCCACGGGAAAACAATGCCCCCCCCTCCCGTTTCGTGTCGGCCGATTTAATCCTTAACGCGAGCTTACCAGGATAACGCGGTTTCCATTAAGCTTAGAACACGCTAAATGCTGCATAAAAATACGCAGTGCCGCGTGAAATCTCGTGTGAAAATGACTACATCAACGATTCAGTTTCACCTGAAAATTATCTGTTGCCTATTTTTGTAAGTTGAGCTTAGTTTTGGGAGAAGAAGAACTGTACCAAACCGTTGTTTCAGATTGTGGAGATAATTGTGAGATACTTTGCTACTGGAAAAAAGAAATGCACCAAACCGTTGTTTCAGATTGTGGGGATAATTGTGAGATACTTTGCTACTGGAAAAAAAGAAATGCACCAAACCGTTGTTTCAGATTGTGAGATACTTTGCTACTGGAAAAAAGAAATGTACCAAACTGTTGTTTCAGATTGTAAAGATAATTGTGAGATATTTTGCTATTGGAAAAAAGAAATGCACCAAACTGTTGTTATTTCAGATTGTGGAGATAATTGTGAGATACTTTGCTACTGGAAAAAAGAAATGTACCAAACTGTTATTTCAGATTGTGAAGATACTTTGCTACTGGTACAAAGGTTTTCATCACATTTGTTGTAAACAATATAGTATATACTGCTCACAAAAATTACGGGATATTTCAAAGTGTATCGCTTTGATTATGAAGACATAAAGAAAAAGAAGCATTTGATTTTTTCTATTAAAGCATAAGAACATCGGAAGAGCTTCATATTTCAAAAT